CAGGGGTGCTGCATCCTCCTAGAGCAAAATGAAAAACACCTAATACAAGCTTTGACCAATGCTCTGCTGGACACTGATAGAAGTCACAAGACTACTCTAACTGCTGATGAGAAAAGGTATTTAGCAGTTTATATTTACTGAAATAATTGCATTTCCATGTGCTGTGTACTGTGGGAGACCGGATCGAGTGAATGCAGGGCGTCCTGGGGAGACCGGATCGAGTGAATGCAGGGCGTCCTGGGGAGAGACCGGATCGAGTGAATGCAGGGCGTCCTGGGGAGACCGGATCGAGTGAATGCAGGGCGTCCTGGGGAGACCGGATCGAGTGAATGCAGGGCGTCCTGGGGAGACCGGATATAGTGAATGCAGGGCGTCCTGGGGAGACCGGATATAGTGAATGCAGGGCGTCCTGGGGAGACCGGATATAGTGAATGCAGGGCGTCCTGGGGAGACCGGATATAGTGAATGCAGGGCGTCCTGGGGAGACCGGATATAGTGAATGCAGGGCGTCCTGGGGAGACCGGATATAGTGAATGCAGGGCGTCCTGGGGAGACCGGATATAGTGAATGCAGGGTGTCGCGGGGAGACCGGATATAGTGAATGCAGGGTGTCGCGGGGAGACCGGATATAGTGAATGCAGGGTGTCGCGGGGAGACCGGATATAGTGAATGCAGGGTGCGGGGAGACCGGATATAGTGAATGCAGGGTGCGGGGAGACCGGATATAGTGAATGCAGGGTGCGGGGAGACCGGATATAGTGAATGCAGGGTCCGGGAGACCGGATATAGTGAATGCAGGGTGCGGGGAGACCGGATAAAGTGAATGCAGGGTCCGGGGAGACCGGATATAGTGAATGCAGGGTCCTGGGTTTAGTAACACTTTAACTGCTAGTCTATCAGACACAAAATAAATCAAGCAGGTGCTGAAACTAATTAAAACCATAAATTCTGAGTCAAGCTATTCTTTACATTCTAATAAGGAAGCCTTTAAAAAGGTTTCTGTCAGACATACAATACAACTATATGTTAACCGCAGAGCTATTCCTGATATTCATGATGGCTGCCCCCTGACAAGTAATCACGACTGAACTCACTTGGTGGCGTGTGGCATGCCTGTTATTGTCATCCTGCCTGTGGGACAGCATCCGCTCTTCCACCTGTTTGTCACGGCTCTGTGCTCTCACCTGAAATTCATCACAATTCTGTAAATGTAAGCAATCACGGAAGGGTCAGGTCAGCCTTCTTGAGAAACGTGCACAAGTATAAGCAGACGAACCCCTTCACCTCGCACTCAGTGCTGTGACTAATGGGGTGCTGAACAAGACAAGTGGGTTACCTTGCATTCGTCCGCAGACAGGTTGTGGTATAATGGGCAGCCGGAGATAGAGAAATGCCTCTCGTGTTTCCCAGTGAGGTGCCCTAAGGAACATGGAAAGTATTAGGCGGCACAGGAACTCTGCTAATAAAATAAAGAGGTTACAAAAGAACCTGTTGGGACAGGAACACAAAGGCCACCATTACTGGCCACTCCTATGAATACTTCCTTTCATTCTCCAATGGAAGCGGACTGCAAGTGTGTTTGGGAGCCAATTTGTATACGGACTGCCTGTATTTAAGTCAGGAATAACAGGCCAGCAGCTTGGCTTTTCTCTGCAGCAGAACCTTACCTGTTCCTTGGTCCAGCGGTGTCCTCATGGTCTTCTCTCCCAGCGCGGGCATTTTTAGTGTGGGCACCCGGCTGTGACAGCTTGCGGCTTTGTGAATGATCCAGCAGTCTTCAGGGACCCGTCACATGCCCCAGAAGACGGGGAGAGAGGAAGTGGGAGCGGGTACCTGTCAAATTCGGGTATCCGCTTCCCCTCCCCAAAAGGTCCGCAGCCTCTGGTCGCCCCCTCTACCGCGCCCGCAGCCTCAGGTCGCCCCCTCTACCGCGCCCGCAGCCTCAGGTCGCCCCCTCTACCGCGCCCGCAGCCTCAGGTCGCCCCCTCTACCGCGCCCGCAGCCTCAGGTCGCCCCCTCTACCGCGCCCGCAGCCTCAGGTCGCCCCCTCTACCGCGCCCGCAGCCTCAGGTCATCCCCTGTACCGTGCCCGCAGCCTCTGGTCATCCCCTGTACCGTGTCTGTAGTCCATTGGTTCAGAATATTTTTTTTTCTTGTTTTCCTCCACTAAAACCTAGGTGCGTCTTATGGTCAGGTGCATCTTATGGAGCAAAAAATACGGTAAATTATTAATGGGGATGGGGGGTAAAAAACAGGATGTGGGGAGATGGGCAGGAGAGCTGTGATGAGAGAAATAGGTTTGTTGCTTGGTATGTTGACCATCTTTCCTCAATACTTTGAGTCACTACCCACAGCAAATATGTAGATAATGAGATTCTGGATTTCCAGATATGCATTCTTGTTCCTGGTCAATGACTCCAAGCACTGCAGCCAGAAACTAGCTTTTACAGAAGGTGGTCAACAATGGCAGCCTCCGTATTTAATGAAGGATATGTTTAATTAAAAATGATGGCCTACAGCAGTCACTAAAAGCAAGCTATTTAGACATCTGCCTTGTTTGTAGTGCTTTCCTCTATCCACCATTGCTCCATTTGGCATATGGAGGGTTGGATGGGGCGAGAAATATCCCAGAAATTCAGGGTATGGTGAGCATGCGACACTCTCTTACTTTTTGACGGTACTGGTGTTTGGCAATTAGCACAGTACAATTACAAATAAGATGGATCCCGAGTTAGCATGAGATTGCACTTCACTCCGAAGGCACCAAGTCACAACATGGAGTTTATGGAAAGGCTTCTTGCTCCTGATGGTTACATGGAGTAGAAGGGGAGCGAAGGGATGATGGATCCGCTGCAAGTTTTTGCCTAGCATGTGCAAAGCACAGGTTCACTTAAAAATTACAAGAGCAAAAATCCAAGTTGCAGTTTAAATCAGCTGAACTCCCTCCAGGTACATCAATAAAGTCTGAAACAAAAACTTTGTATGCCTTTTGTCTTGATGCACCAGAAATACTTCCCAGATTTAAAGGAAAAGTTAAATTGGGCTTTGATATGCAAAGCGGCTCACAAACAACCTTGCAGTGTATTACAATAGGAGAACACACACAGATTTTGTTCAGCTAATCCTCAAACGGTTTACCCACCGATGTCACTACCTGTAGATTTTTCAGACCACCAACTGAAATTCTGCAAAACATCCACTGTGATCAGTACTATACAAAGAACTAGAACATATTCTTTTTCACATGACAAACAATAAGAGACAGTCAAAAGAAAGAAAAGATGGTCAGCTATTAAACTTTACCTTTCTGGATGTCTTTTTCTGCAAAAGTTGGGGAAGGAGGGGTGTATGTATGTATGTATGTATGTATGTATTGGTTGGGGGGTATTCCTGCTAATTTCCTTTAGACAAACCCATCAGCCATTATCTCAGGGCTTTACCATGCACACCCTCCACCAGGGGCGGACTGACAACTCATGGGGCCCCCGGGCAATAGGAGATCATGGGGCCCCTGTGTCCTTGGCCAAACTCAAAAAAGCCTATGAAAAAAAAGGTACCAGGGACATCTCATGGGGCCCCCTACTGACCCCGGGCCCTCGGGCAGTGCCCGAGTTTCCAAATTGTCAGTCCGCCCCTGCCCTCCACCCCTCTGCTCAGACTCCTAAGGTTTCATTGCACATGGGTACACCCATCTATATGCCCTTCCAAAGGAGCTTTACCTGTATGGGGTGCATCTGCATGCAAAAAGTCCCATTTGTGCCTACTGAGACCCAGAGGTTGCACGATACATCCGCTGCACCTAATTTGACAGCAGTGTGGGTGCCGGTCCCCAAATACACACTGTCCGTTTGGGGACACACACCTGCACGGCTGACAAATTGGGATCAGCGGCTGTGTCCATGAAGCTGCTGCATCCCAACAGACAAGAATGGGACTGTCAGCACATGGATGCCAAGAACACATGTGCATCCAAAGATGACCCTTCTGACAGGTGTATGGATAGTTATGCCCATGTGAATGAGGCCTTATTGGCCATTAAGCCACTCACCAAAGAATAGGGCAATGGCAGATAGGTGGAGCTTGGAAACTTTAGAAATCCGTAAAACTAGGGTTAGAAAGCATAGAACAAGCTTTTCAGATTAGTCAAGCTAATAAAACGACATTTTTCAATTTCAAATGTGCGACAGATTCTTTTTAAAGCATTTATTATAATAAAAATGAATAAATGCAAATCTAATCCTTTTTACGAGCTGGAAACGGTCACACATAGTGCCTACTAATGTACATCAATATCTCACAAGAGTGCTTAATGACTTTCTTAAAACACAGACATCAAAACAATTGTACCTATGAATTATACCGAGTATAGGGGACAGGATTACCTAAAGAGTTGCAGCCGGGGGTGGGACATTTCATATTGAAGTTGTAGCTCTCATGAAATCGCCTTCTCTTGGGTCTATGAGACAGGTCACTCCCAGAGTCCTTCATGGACATGTCCTTGGCAATGCTCTCATCATGAGAAGCGTTGGGGCTTGAAATGTCTATATCGGACTCTGATGATGGTGCATTTCCAGTAGGAGTGCGAGGCGGGGATTCGTCGTGATCCCCGGCGTTTTTAGCATCTGCGACAGACAGAGAAGATGGTCAGCATTTGTCAGGATTCACACTGTGAAGATTAGCACACAAAGAAAGCTACTCTACTGGGCCACAGCTAAAAGAAAAAAAAAAAAACAAAAAACAGACAGCCAGCGTGCATCTACTTTGACAAGAGCGAGAGAGAGCGCTTCCGGCAGTGCTTTCGGCCCGGCTGCACCCCCGTACCTCTGTCACAAAAGTCCACCGCTTGCTCGGTTTCCGATCCCGATGAGCGGGTCTGTCGGAGTGGGTATTTTTTCGGAGTCATGGGGGTGGGCTGCTGCTGGCTGCGCGGGTCACCCTCCGGGTGGAGTAGGCCGGCTCCTCTGCACCAAACGATTGCAGATTGCTAACCGGACTGGAATCTGGTTTAATACAAACCACAATTTCACTTGCCAACACGGCCAACCTCATTGTGACCTGTCCTGTCAACCACTACTGCTTCCTGACCATAACTAACTGCAAAGGGAAACAGCTGATTCTAACAGGCTAATAGAACAAGTGAAGAGACGGTTTAGTCCAGGGATAGGCAAACAAACTTTGTTCAGAGTAGAAAACTCATGAAAGATGTAGATTATCCAGTTACAGGCAGAATGTTGCCTATACTTGGGCTAAACACTGCAAAATCCGAGCTCATTTCCTACAGCCACACACACAGCAGACTTTCTGGATCGTACTGAAGATTACTCCACCTGAAAGCAACTGGGAACACCTAGAATGTGTCATGTATACTTGCCACGAGAATCGTTTATAGACTGTAATTGCTGAACTTCTAAAGATGCGATTGGTTGTCATGCTGACCCATTCGCTTCAGTGTTTTCATTTACTAAACCAGAACAAGTGAGCAGATCAGAAGAGGAAGGGCTACTTCCCGGGTTAATTGCTCTAGGTTGGGGAATCCTACTGAAGCAGGAGGGATGACATGACAGAACTCAGCAACGGCAGAATCCGATGCTTCTCTTTGCAGCTTATTCAGAAAGATCACCTCTAATTATTAAACATAATGGGGGGAAATTATTCTATATTCCTGCCTCACTCTTCTAAGCTGAGTTAACCACTTAGAGTCCGGACACTTTTACCCTCTTCCTGTCCAGGTCAATTTTCAGCTTTCAGCGCTGTCACACTTTGAATGACAATTGCGCGGTCATGCAACACTGTACCCATATGAATTTGTTGGCATTTTTTTGAGACAGATAAAACTTTATTTTGGTGGTATTTATTCACCACTGGGATTATTTTTTTTTGCTATGTAAATTAAAAAAAAAATAAAAAAAGTGTTTTTGTCTTATAAAATGTTGCAAATAAATAGCATTTTATCATTAATCTTGGCCAAAATGTATTCCAATATCTTTTTAGTAAAAAAAAAAAAACCCAAAATTAGAATTTTTAAACATTTACTTTTTCATATTTTTTGTACTACTGTGGGGGGGGGGGGGGTGATGATTTTTTATTTTTTACACTGATTGCTTTTACACCCATAAAGGCTGTAAAATCAATAATTTCTCCTTCTCTCTGGCTGCATTCTTGCAGCCATTGAGAACTACTGAGTGAGCTGTGATTGGTCACAGCTTGTCACATTGTACAAGGCTGTTGTGAATAGCCTTGTACCATGTGACCTCTGTGATCATTCACAGATTTCACACGTAGTAAGCAATGTCGTCACAAGTGATATCTTGCTTACTACTCTGCATGTGATCACTGATTGGCCAATCAGGGATCACATGATCGGGACCTCGCAGAGAGGTCCCGTCCGACGATCAGTGTTCCACTGTGTCCGGAGGACAGAGGGCACCAGATCGCGGTGCTGCGCGCTCCCAGGGAGCGCGCACAAGCAGGGTGCGGGGAGGCCATTTAGAACACGGCCACCCGACCCTGCACTGTCACCATCTGGCCGTTTATATACAACGGCCGGACAGGAGGTGGTTAATGAAGCTGAAAGTGCGCCTTATTAACCACTTGCCGACCACAGATAGCCAAATGACAGCTTCACTGAGGCCGGCCAGTTCTGGGAGGGCGTCACATGACGTCCTCCCTGAACGCGCACCTGGCGATCTCTGTGATCGCTGTGTCCTACGGACACAGCTGATCACGTGCTATGGTAAAAGGCCAATCACAGCAGCCTTTTACCACGTGATCAGCCATATCCAATGACACACTGATCACCTGGAAATGCAATTGCCGGTTTTCGGCTGCACTTTCCTCGAGCTGTCACAGCGTGAGGAAAGTACTGCCAAGAAACAGCAGTTGTCAGAGGAGGGATCGGCACCGATCATCAGGGCACTGATGATCAGTACCCAGCAGTGCCACCCACAAGTGCACACCTGTGCCAATCAGTGCCCAGTAGTGCCACCTACCTGGGCTCATCAGTGCAGCCTCATCAACCCACATCAGTGAAAGAGAAAAATTACCCGTTTGCAAAATTTTATAATAAAAAATGTGAAAAACATTTTTTTTCTTTTGTTTCTGTTCTTTTTTTGTTTATAGCGCAAAAAATAAAACACCCAGTGGTGAGTAAATACCACCAAAAGAAAGCTCTATTTGTGTGAAAAAAATTATAAAAATTTCATATGGGTACAATGTTGCATGACTGCGCAATTGTCATTCAAAAGTGCAACAGCGCTGAAAGCTGAAAATTGGCTTGGTAAAGAAGGGGGTACAAGTGCCCGGTAGGCAAAAGGTTAACAAAAAGGGGAGCAAAGGGTGAAAAATAAACTGACATAGGTTTGCACAGATAGACCTAAAAAAACAGAGTTGCGCCTGGATTCACACTGATGCGGTCTGGAAATCACAGCGTTTTATGTGCGAATTTCACACCACATCAGAAATCACACCCCGTTCATGAGAACCGCTGCGGGTGTGTATGTTGAGTTAACACCCCGAAATCAGTCTGCAAAAGGCAGTGCGATGTGCAGAATCGAATCGCATAGGTGTGAATACCCATGCAATCCGATTCTAGTGTGGAACACACACAACTTTGCGCACCCGTGCCGCCCTGTAGCAGTACTTTTGCTATAGGGCAGAAGGGAAGCGGTTAGAGACCTGGAGTAAGCATGTAGCTAGCAAAAGAGTTAGGACGTGATGTGCACATATTAATCCAGGTCAGTAACCTATTAGGTAACACAGCAAGAACTTGGAGCCGGCACTCTTAGAAGCCCCTTTTACTGTCTTGAAAGGTTACCTTTAAGGGCTCCTCTACATCTGCGTATATTGGTGCTGTTACCACATTTACCAAGACGCACAGAATTAAACGGTACGCCACACTTTGAAAAAAAACTGTGAAAGCTTTCCTAGCCTAGCTCCTTATAGCTGCTGCGACATCACACTTCCAAAAGATCATAACAAATGGTCCTACCTATAAAAACAGAAAAAAAAAAAAAAAAAACAAAACAAAAAAAAAAAAAACACACACACACACCTTTAGTAAGTAATGTGTGCAGTTTTTGAAGAATTTGGCCCCTTTCACATGGGTGGACCGATAGGGTCCAACTGTGTTTTTCAGGCAGACTGACCGGACCATACACTGTCCTCTATGCAGCAGACATGTGTCTGTTTATACCCATTCAAAACAGATATCTAATGGATTGGATGACAGTCAGATATAAATGGACAGGCAATCTGTTTACATCTGACCGCCCATAGAGGAACAGCGGGCTGTGTTGGTGTCCGCTCTGCATAAGCGGAGCGGACAAGGACCTATCATCCGCTCGCCTGTGTAAAAAAGGGGCCTTAGTCTGTAAAAAGAGAAAAAAAAAAAAAAAAACGCACCAGCGGCTAACATCAAAATCCTCTCTACACTGATCCGCTCTTTTTTATCTTCAAGAAAAAAAAGTCGACAAGGTGGCTTTTTAATCGGCTCTGCTCAACAGCAGAAGTAATCAGCAGCGCGTTCATCCATCTTTCTGTTCAAGCAGAGAGGTCATCAGCACTGTGGCATCTGTTGAGCAGTGGGTGAGAAGTTTTGGCAGCCAAGCTCTGACTTTCAATAGGTTGCCTAAATTTTGCTTTTACTTTTAGGTGGCGTAACCCGTAGGCAGATGCTCAATACTCAAGGTCAATCTGAAGCAGAAAGATTAAAAACTCAACTGTGTGTGGGCATCCAGGCAAAATGGAGCTAATGGACTACATACAAGTTAGTCTTACTACAAACATCCTTACTGTACTAGAATTATGGGCAGCAGAGGAAAGTAGATCAACTCAAGCAAAGCTAGGAGACATGCCATGCAGAGTATGAGGAATGAGCGTTAATCTACAGGTGAAACATCAAACAAAACAAATGATCCTGTATGCCAAGTTACTAATAAAATAACGAGTAGTCTGCAGTTACATATTTCCAGACAATGAGGAAATATGACACAATCTAGCATCTTAATAATGGTTAGCACTAATGGATTGGCTGGCAGGTTATTTACACTGGGAGTACACAGTAAAATCTGGAGTAAAGAAGAGGGCCCACAGTATATGTGGCAGATGTTAGTCTATCTGAGCTGCTGTCTAAACTAAAAACTAGAATGGAAGCAGAAAACTAATACCAGTATTTATAGGCTGTAACCAAAAGGGTCGAGTATCTGGCTGCTCATCTTTATAGGAATGCATATACCCAAAGAACCCCCAATGGGACTTTAATGCAGCAATAGGATCATAGATATATTAGAAAGGAAAAAAGGGAAAAATAAAGGAAAAAAAAAAGGAAAAAAAAAAAAAGGGAAAAATAAAGGAAAAAGGGAAAAATAAAAAACTGTGTGCTTTCATATTTTTTTATTAAGCGTTTTCTTGTAAGAACACCGTCAGAGCAATATTCTTTTTAGAAATCATGTATTTAACTTTACAATGGAATTTTGTATGTAATAAAGTTGATAATCGTTTTGAACCAAATGTCTTTTTCAATATATGCTCCTAGATTGTAAGCTCTAAACGAGCCGGGCCCTCTGTTTCCTATTGTACCAATTTGTATTGTAACTAATGTCTACCTTCATGTTGTAAAGCGCTGCGCAAATGTTTGGTGCTATATAAATCCTGTATAATAATAATAATAATAATAACAATAATAATATATGATCCTATTGCTGCATTAAAGTCCCTCTGGGGGTTCTCTGGGCACGTGTTTATAGACTGTTAGATGATCAACCCATACATAGCAAACCTGAAAGTTTACACACCCAATACCTGAAATGTGGGGTATTCGGATTGTCCATTTCAAAACACAGAGCTAACCTGTAGGTCAATGCAGAGACCACCAAGTGCCACTGCATTCGTATTTCTGGAAATCCTACTTTAGTAGGACGGAAGTTAAATTTATTGCCAACTAACCTGATCTCAACAAAAAAAAAAAAAAACCCCACAGTGCTAGTCTCCATCAGTCTTCAGA